TTATGAAGCCTTAAAAAAAAGTAGTGCCTTAATTAACAGTAGTTAACAAATCACAGACACATTAAACATTATAGCAATTAGTTTTATTTTACTGATTTATTATTTTGCATAATTTGTGTTGTAGGTCATTAGTGGTGCTCCATACGCGACTAATTCAGTAATTCGTAAATACTTACGTAAGACATATGTGATTATGTATAGTTATAGTGAGTAAAAAAAAGTTTGAGAACCTTTGCATTACACAGACATAATAGTTTTCGCACCTCAGGCCAAATATTTAGTCCCACCACGCTGTGGCGTCATAAATCATTATTATAATATTATTAACGTGCCATAAACATTTCGTTATTCTAACACACAAACTGACATGGCAGTGGCACACATTTCGATTTTCAACCTTACGACAGGCACAGAGACACTGCCAGACGCCAGTGTTATTATAGTGTTTAGGTAGGTAGACAGGTACTTAAATAGTTATATACGCTCAGACGTCATAAATACCTACTGCAAACTGCAGTTGTAGTTTCGTACCTATGTAGACGTTATTGGAGTATAAAATACAAATACTGTTATATTCGGAAATTCGACTCTTGGGTTGTGTCATATTGTCATGTTCCGCGGTTTTAACACTAGATACGAGACAACGGCGGTCGGATTATAGCTGACCTAAAAAACACGCGTCGGCGTTGTCGTAGACAAATAATAATAATATAATAATAGTAGTGGCTACTGATTGTTGGTAGTTCATGAGTGACGATAGTCACGATAATGTGGTCAAACCCGAAATCGTTTTAAGCATTATAAGAGTACAAGATTTAGTTATTTTATGATAATTGTGGTAAAACGGAACAAAATACCTTATAATATGTCATATTATACTTATACGTTTTCAATTAAAATATTTTTAAAAAAACTAGTTACATGAATATTTAATTTACATTATATGAAGGTAGGTACTACACTGAGCATGTGTTCGAAATTAAACAAATCCTTAGACGTTAAAAAACACGTAGAACTACTATTTTATTTACATAACGATAAATATAATATATACCAATAGATATTAGGTATTTAATACTACTACATGTATTTATGCATAAGGAATAGCATTATAGCAATATTTTATAACATTCTCAACTGCTGAATGGCCAATGCAGTAGGTATAATACTTATACTATATTAAGTATTATTCATACTTTTACAGCTCAATTCAGATGTATCCTTGAGTCTTGACTTATTAGTTATTATTTTATTTAACGATTAAACTAATTTATATTTATATTTTATACTCTGATTATTATACTGATTGGTGAATTGTCATCGTCATTTCACATTTGTCATTATTATAAATAATGTCTTTGTTATTTCTGCTAATACCCATATTTTTCCAATCAATAATCATAGTTGAAACTTGAAAATTATTTATAATATATCAATTGTCCAAATAAAGCATTTTATAACATTCATAATAAGTCAAGACTCAGGTACCTAACAATATGAAACACACATTTAATAATTGAATTGAAAAAGAAAATATACTTCATAAATAACTTTTAATAAATTGTCAAAATTGTATGAAATTTTAAATTGCTTAAGTTACAAAAAAATAACATGAAATGAAATTTTTTAATATAGGTATAGGCACACATTAGCAGAGATGTTTTTTTTTTTAGGGGAGTAAGCCACGAAATAACTACACATATTTGACTTACCAATATTTTAATTGATAAAGTAAAAAAATGGTTTTGTTCTATAGTATATATTTAATGAAATCTTGAATATTAAAAGTTTTTTCAATTTTAGTACCTATTTAAAACAACAAATACCTGTGTCGTTTGCAGTTTTTCAGTTGCATTTTTTCCTGTTACCGGTTATACAGGAATGTACGAAAAAAAGCCACGAAAAAAAAATCCACTGAAAAAAAAACCCAATAAAAAAAGCCACTGGGAAAATAAGCCAAGAAAAAAAAGTCAAATACAAATTTTTCATAAAATTAAAGTATTCAAATTTTTAATTTTTAACACGGTTTTTCGAAAATACAGTCAGTATAATATAATGTAATATAACATAAGATATGTGTAGTTCATACTGCAACATGTGTATTTAAAAAAATAATCACCCTGTACAAAGTATATACATTATACATTTCAAGGTGTACCTAAGATATAAATTAATATAGTAAATAATATTACAGTAGTCAGTAAGTATTTGACTCACGAAATCGTTAAAAGTAGGAGTGATAATGTATTGATCATATAATACAAATCACAGAATACATTTTCATATACCTATATATGGCTGCATGGCTGTTTTTTGTATGTACCTATACCAATACCATGAATGGCGAATCACAGTGGTACAGGGATCTAACAAAAAATTATGTTCTTAAATTCATTATTGCCATATTGCTAATTATTGTTACCTACCAATATAGGCTTTACAAATATATTTTTGGGTTCTACCCGACTGTATATGCTGTCAGTGAATCAGCGGGTGCGTATAGGCCATAGGTACCTATTATAATACTTGTACTTATTACCTACTAAGTACTAGGTATAATAATATAATATTGTAACATTTGTATTGTGCGCAATGTGCCAAATTTCCTCGAAACGAGATCCTAAAAACCAACACCCGGACCCGGCTGACAAAACGCATCTACCGTCTTCCTAGGACTATAATATAGATAATTGACAAATAGTGAATAGGAGTGTCTACGTACTACTGTCTAGAGTCTAGACTCAAGATATTGGATGACTTAGGTTACTAGTTAGATATATTAAGATTCACATAAGTTACCCCTAAGTATGCAATTCACAGGTAACAGGTTCCTAGTAGGAATACGCCGCCTGATTGTTTCAAAGATCGTAAATTGGAACTTATATTATTATAGGTATGCTGGCTTAATGCCTAAATAATTTGTTTTTAATGTAAATACCTAATAATATGCAAGCATGCAGTTATGATATTTTATGAGGGGCCCATCGTTATTCTGTAGAAATAAATAATAATAAAAAAAATAATACTGATTATACTAATCATAAAAATATAATTTAAATATACTGAAATTAAACAAAATATTTTAATTTTATTTTTATCAATCTTTGTATGTGTATGTAGGGTTGCCACCTTTGAAAGAAAGCAGCCCCGGAGATAGGCCGATAAGCAAAAAAAAAGGTCATCAGCAAGACGCTAGTAACCCAACCAGTACGGGGGAGTATAATCTAAAATCTATAGCTTAGTTGAAGTGAAATGATAAGTAATGAAATGCAAACAAAAAAATATTTATATAATCAGTAATCACATATTTTATCATTCAAAATTACAAATTATACTATAAAAATATAATTAAAAATCCCAAACAAGAAAAATTATTTAAATTTAAAATCATACTTAACATTATTTGTTGCACATTTTAATAATTGTTACCGGAAACTAATAAAAAAAAAGGCATAATAATAAAAACAAGTCTATTTAAGACTATAAATCGTAGGTTATCTTATCTTTATCTCCGACCCGGAGAAAAATTCTCTGAACCCGGAGCCCGTAGATTTATACGTAAACCCGGATTCTCCGGGTGAAACCCGGAGAGGTGGCAACCCTATGTGTATGTCATAATTACCTCAACCTCTATCCACGTATATACTTTAGATTCCGAGCAAAGCGATGAATTCATTGGTTTTACAATGTCGTGTTGTTTTATTTTAGATTTTTGAAAACACTTTAATAATTTATATAGAAGAAAAAATGATTCGATTTTCAACTTCGAGTTTCTGGTAGAAAATGAATCTAGTGGGTACTTTAAAGTGAGCGGGAGGTAAAAAGTAAAAAAATTCTTAGTAATTTCCATAATAATCGGAAAAACTAAAAAAAAAAAATGAAAACCAATAATTATGTGAAAACTTAGTATAAGCTACACAATCTTTACAATAGTGTGTACGCCCCCTACCCTATACTGAGCCTTTGAATGGGAAAAAGACCACGGATTGGGACTTTTTTGGCAATACCAAATTTTCAAAGGCGACCAATGGGCCTCCCCAAGATAAAATTCCTAGCGCCAACACTGGGTGAACAACTCCGGAAAAAAAATCCCCAGACTACAATATTACTCACAAACACATGCAAAGTTATTGAACAAAAATTATTGTTTTCAACTTTAATAACCTAGTGTAATTACTAATTACCAACATTATTAATGTTTAATTACAAATATTATATACTTATAAGGTAGTAATATAAACTTAAAATTTAGAAAATGTACAATTTTTATAGCTAAGGATTGAAAATTTAAAATATTACATACTACCGTTTCTTATAATGTTTTGATTATAACGTAAATAAAATATTATTAGGAAACGTTTTTACAAGTTTTACTTTACATAGGTAGATGAAATATTTAAAATATTAAAAAATAAAAATAAAAATAATTATCAAACAATAGTTAATGAAGGTAGGTGGTACTCACAGTTAAAAACATAATATATAAATATTTCGAATGATCGTTTACGTCCAATAATATGTCAAATAATACAAATAATAAAGTAATTATCAAACAATAGTTAACTCTGCACTGTTAATTATGAGATTGTCTCCTAATATTGTGGCTTGCCGAATTAAAAAAATTTGGAATATTTATTTGGCCACTCACAAACCTGACACAAAGTTTAATATAATATAGTAATGAATAATATTGTAGTCTGGGAAATTTTTTTCGGGATTGTGCAAAGGGGGATTTATTTTCCGGGGATTTTTATTCCGCAATTCGAATGAGGATGTCTAGTTTAGACAATTTAATTTATTTATGTTACTTTTACAATATACCTTATAATGAGCATAAAAAGGTGTCCCATATTTTAGAACGAGTAATATTTATAATATAATATTATTGTGCACGAACATAAGGTTATAGTACAATAGTTATGGAGTTGTTTAACACATTTGGCGACACTGAAAATGCAGCTGTGAACGACCCGTTATGTTTTTGTTTCTCATTTTTTTTTTTATCATTTGCAGTCGGGCCGTGCGTCTCGCGCTAGTGTGTTAGTGTAATTTTATTTTTTTCATTTTTTATTATTTGTTTTAAAATTTAATGATTATTGAAAGTTTTTCATTTTTCTCGTTAATATCTGTTTCAAATTGTTTTCTGTTAAGTTTATAGTGAAGTTGCTTAGGTCCGTGTTAAAGTTATTAGAAAATTTCTTAACTGTGTGGCTCCAACAAGAATTTATACATTGTCCCATGATATAATGAATCAATTTGGGTTCAGCGGATATGTTTAAAAACTCAAGGTATAATTTTTTATATTTTAGATGCTTACAAACACCCTAATTATCATGTTGTACATGTAAATAATAGATGTTTAGTAAAATAGTAGATGCTTGTCTGAAATCAGTGGTATTGCATCAAAATATTTTATGGTCACATCACACTTTTCCCTATACTTGTTAAAAAATGACTAGGGGGTGAATTTTAAGTTAATTTTAATTAAAGAACCTTATGTTTAATAACTGATATTGAGGGAGGTTTATTAGGTGGTATATTAGTATTCAGATAGCTCTAATATATATCTAAATAATTCCCCAGATTTAAAATTAAGTAGGTATTAATCGTTTTCAAATTTGTACTTGAATATCAGGCTTCATTCAATTTATCTTTTTAGGTGATTATAAAAACAAAATTCCTTGTGCTTAAGGTAAATAGGTAAAAAACCTAGTTTTAAACTAATATTTACTCAGATAAAAATATTTTTGAATGTTACAATGTAAATAAAACTTATATTGAAGTTATATTACCTTGGAATACAGTTATAACTACAAGGTAATTTTCTTTTATTTACTAGTGTAGCTATGCTATTATTTTTACTTCTGAATTAAGAAACCTGGAATTAAACTAAACTAAATTAATTCACCATGATAAAAATAATATTTTCCTCTAAGAGTAGTTGGTAGTTGTTCTTATATTTTCTAGTTATTACCTATGGCAATTGATATTAAGTACCTACCTAACGATTAAACTATTAATGGTCTTTAATATTATGTTAATAATATTTAGTATCTAACCTTCTTAAATGATGACATACCTATACCTAGATAATGTTAGGATTGTAAAATAATTTTACCAAGGATGTTACTTACCTATAATGGGTTTTTAATTTACCAAAACTAAATTAATATATATTATTGAGACAAGGATAACAAATAATATATCTAAAGATAAAAACAAAACACTTTTATACAACCATTTATATTTACATATTGATTCCAATATTAGGTAGTACAAAGTTCTCAAAGGATTAAAAATAATTTGTATTAGGTAATTGTATATTGTATCTATTTGTTACTCATTGATCATTATATTTTATTTAGTTTTTAAATAAGCATGAAGATTTAAAATCTGAATTTATTGTCTAGTTATTAGGTACCTTCTCAGAATAAATTATCATTTTTTTAAACTATTTTTAAAAAGAAAAAAAAGTTATGTTGAGCAATTTTACTTATATTAAATTCAAGATTTTATTAATTTTACTCCCTTCTTACTCCAAAATCACTAAGACTCGCTTGTATGTTTGCCACCAAAACTATGCCTGGCAATCCTTCTTGTTGTCTTAAAAATAAAAATTGATTAATTTTATTAAAATTTCATGGATGAAATGAGTCATGAAATAAGGTAGTAAATAATACGTCTCCTTTTTCAAATCTCAAAAATTAAAATCATGTTAATGACAACTAAAAAAAAAAATGTGTTTTGCCTATAATAATTGTTCTGTTGTTAAAATAAAATTATTAAGATTAATACGGATTAATACTAGTGATTGTGTTTAGTGTTTAGTGTTTACACTCCATACTTTTAATTATTTTATGCTACGCCAAATTCGTAGATATTTATAATGAAATTATTGTATATTAACGAATAGGTACTGTACAGGGAAGAATGAATTAATGTAAACAATTCTTAAGTTGATGATTGGTACCTGAGTACATAATTTAAGAATGTTTGATAGCTAATACAGTATATTATTATAAATATACTAAAATATTGTTCTTGCTATTAAATAAAAAAAATTGCTAGAAAAAATATATTCTTTACATACATTTCAGTCATTGAAAACAATATTTTCCTAAAAATGTACTATTTTTAATTACAACATGCTATCTTAATTCCTTATCCAAAGTCTGAACAGAATATTTTATGGAGTACTTTGATGAATAAAAATTTAATTTTGGACTAGTAGCTTATGAGCTATAATTTTAGTATTTATAGTATAAATGAGTGATGTGCTGTACCACTCCACTCATTAAATGGTCCACTATTCCTTCAACTACTCTCCTCATCTAACTTAAATACTTACTTATAAGTTATAACTGATAAAAACTATTCCTCTGTAATTTGATTTTTATAGATTGAAAATACTCCAAATATTACCTATTCAGTTTCATAATATGAAATTAAAAATGTTTGAAGTCATTCAAAATAATTAAAAACTTAAATAGTGATAATGATACAAAAATGTTATTTTGATTTCCATTTTAATGAAAATGGCTCTTTTAATATAGGGATCAGAACTGGTGTGTTTTTAATACAAAAACATGTCTTACGGGAAAAACTCTCAACCTAACCTAGAGTGGTCGAATTTCGTCAATTTTTTTTTCTTGAAAAAAAGAAAACATTTTTCAGATCAGATCAAACCTTGATTTTTAAAATTATAATTATAGAAGCTAAAATATGCATTTGAATAATGCACAATATTTGTTATTTTTCCTCGTATTTTTCTACCACTAAAGTAAAATTAAAATTCGAGCTTTTATCTCAGTTGAAAAAAGTTCTCATATTTCAAATAAAAAAAAAAATTGTCAAAATTGGACATATCAATGAGGCCTTTTTCCTGTGGAGACATTTTTCTTGAACTAATAGGTACTCCGTATCAACTTACCCCCTTCCCTTTATATTAGGTATACTGCAGTAGATTAGTAAAAAGTAGTAGGTAGCAACTAAAAGAAGACATCATTTTAAATTGTATATAGAAATGTGGAAAATTAGAAAAACTGACACCCTTAATCTAATATTTTATCAAACTATAAGTCGTATGCTCGGCTTCAGACGTTTGTCATTTGCATCCTCTGAGATATCTAGTTGTAGCTGAATGTCTGCTGGATTAATGACGTCTCAGTTTCATCGCATGTTTGCATGCAAATTTCTAAGTATATATTTATTTATTGTAACCATTTTTTACGAAGTATAATATTATGAGGGATATTATGCTTATGAATAATATTTGTATAATTTTTTTATTTTTATATTTTGACCGTTTTGTATTTCTTGAATCCCTACACCTATCACTTGATAAAGACAACCGGAAATTAGTTGGTAGGAAAACTATTGTTGATAATTGATATACTTACTTGGCGGCAACTAATTACTGTTCAGTCTGTTCATATATATTTTGTTGTCTTGGTGCTAGTTTATTCCGTGTAATTTTATTAATTATAATATAAGTAATAACAATAATAACAATTTAACTGTATGGAGGTATACATTTTATTTTATTTAAAATTTCAGGTTCAAGTCACTTCTTCAAAAATTTCAATTATTTTATGCATCCTTAATGTGTAATATTTTGATTCCCAATTAAGCGATGTGAAGGTACTCTGTGATAGTCTATGATAAGTTTTTTTAGAAGATTTAATCAAACAGTTTCATTATACTCTTCTTATTGTAGATTAATAATCTAGGATTCTCTCAATAGTTCCTTTAAGTTTAAAGAAAAACTATATGTAATCGGCGAACTTTGAATACCTGGCAACAAGCTTGATTGTGGTAGATCTTTCCCAAAAAAAATTTTTTTAATATTTAAAATTGAATACCATACATACCATTCCATTATTATATTGTTTTATTTTTATAGAGCAATGCACTACTCATTTTTAAGAAAATACTTTTATGTATTTTATTTTTATATTATGTTAGGTAAGAAATTTGAATAATTGAAAGATGAGATTATTTTTGAGATTTTAAATTTTATATATTTTATAGGTACTCATGATTAGGTACATGCACTGTGTAAAATTCGTTATAAACACAGTTACCTAAACCAATTATGCAGGCTCACTAATCAGGCTGAAGCTAGGTAGTAGATATAATTTTTTTTTACAATCATAGCTTCGGGGCTCATTAAATTAAATCTATTTTACACACTAACTTTAACTTGAATTTTATAAGTTATAATTTAAAAATATAGGAAAACAATTTAGTCACATACCACAATTCATCATGCCGTCTGTAGAAAGTCTGACGTTCGGAAAATATACAAGAAAAAAGTCCAGGAACTCGATCTGCTGTACCTATGATGCCTGTATAGTAGTTTTTGTTAGTTGTCGAGTGTACGTTTTCAGTGAATAGGATGTGTTGAATCTTAAGATAATTAAAAAATAAGAAGCTTAATTCGAAATAATGATTTTCAGCGAAATTGATGGCTCAATCAGCATCTATTTCTAGAGTTAGTTAATGTCATAAATCATAATACATTATAACATAATATCTATAAAATTATTACTGTCTTCTCAATTTGGTAGGTAAAGTTAAACTGCCGTAGGTTAAACTGATTTCAGTCTTAAATATCGCATGCAACTTTATAAGTTACAGTCAATAATTATCTAGTTATTACTGGCGTATCGAAAAATAGTGTGAGTAGGTTCGTCGTCGTTGGTGGTAATATAAATAGCTTAAGGTTAGTGAAAATATTTTGAAAATTCCATTATATTTAAAAAATTCGATATTTTAAATATTTGGTAAAATTGTAAAGTACCTACCTTTCTATGGTTTACGCTTTCTGAAATAACATTTAAAAAACAAAACGAATTTGGAAAAAAAAACTGGTGTTGTATAAATATTCCTATTTTCTACAATTTTTCGATTATTTTTCTCAATTATTTAGTAAATTACAACTGGATTAAATTTTCGACCAGTAACCACCTTCAATGTTAAATATTGAATCTAATTTTCTGCTTTAAAATCTATGAGAGATAAAAAAATATATAAAACAAAATATGTTAATACATTATTGTAAAATCAGTAACATTTTCGCTCTACTCAGAATCTAAATCAAAATCAAATCCTGACTTATATGCCTAATAAGAATATTTTTTCAAAGGGAAGTGAGGTCCGAGGGGTTTATTTGTTTAAATGGTAATTAGTAGTTTTATAAATTGCAATTTTCAATAACTGTCCAATTGTATGAATTATTAGAAGTGTTCCTTATTTATATTCAAAACTATATATTTTTGTTATTACTTAAGTATACTATTGTATCAGGTTTGTATTATTATACTCATCATATATTTTATAAGTTATAACCTTATAGTAAAATGTAGTTGTAGTTCGAAATATTATAGTTTTCTTACTATTTCCCCATTTTTTCATCTTTAATTTTTTTGTCGTGTTTTCGACATTTGCAGTTCTGACTTAACAGTCTTAAGTATAAATAATTATAAATTCCTGATTGTTCATGTTCTGAAACTTAACAATAATGTACCTGTATATAAATATTAAGTAAAAATGTCTGGAAGTTCTTGTATTTAATTTTTTCAAATTTTTTTCTTTCTATACAAATCAGCAAGTAAATTTAAACTTATCACAGTTAGGTTATATTTATGATAGTTTCACTTTTTCATTACGTACGTGGTATACATGCATTATTCCACCCATGTTATCCGATATTCGTGAGGATTTCCGGCGGTATTAGTAAGATGTGTCCCTGTACCTATAGGGTGCACAAAGTATCGGATGCCGATGATTTTATTGTTATGAAATGTTGATATTATTTAACACATGCTTCAATTGTTTATATTTTACTAAACCTGCATGATGTATTGTAATATTTGAATAAACTAGACTTTAGTTCATTATAAAATTATAATGAATGGAATTACCTATGTAATTTTCAGAGATTCATGCAATAAAACTTAGATTTTGTTCATTATAAAAGAATATAAGTAATAGTAATAATCAATTTTAATTATTCATCTGTTTTCCTTATTCAAATACAATATTATCAGAACTGTAAAACAACCAAGCTCGTATATAATAAAATGTTTTGCGGCCATGACAAATTGTATAAGCTTAACTTAATTTATTTGAATCAAACCCTCAATCAAACAGGCATTATTAAATCTATAATCGAATTAACTATTTAAATTGAACAACATGGTGTTGTACTGTCGTTGTTAGACTTTTAAGCGACTAACATATTATCACCACTCAACGTAATTTAGTACCATCAATGACCAATGGATGGTTTCTTCACTCAAGATTTGACTATTTAATATAAGCCACCACTTGCTCAGTTGCTCGTATTGTAACGTAATTATTTTATAGATCGTCCGTAATCTAAAAATCTATTAACGTTTTTAAAAGACAGCATGCGTTTTAAATTCAATATTCCTAAGCAGAGTGTTTTTCTGTGAATTTTAATGTCTACAAATCTAATTGAGAAGAAGTTATTATTTAATTATAACTTACAAATAAGTACCTACTACGATAAGATAAAAAAGAGTAGTGTAGTGGAACCGACATTTTGCGGGGTACTTCTGTGCCTCTCCGCTCGGCTCATAAAAACATTAAATAGGTACTTTAAACTAATGATCTATGTTCTAAAGTCTTTCGAAAATCAATTATAAGACATTAGACTTCAAAATATTTTTAAAAAATAAACTGCTTAGAAAAATGAAATTTAAAATGTGTCCTTAAAATAATTAAAACATATAAATAAATAAATATATATATTATTCAGACCTTACTTGATGAGGCACCTAAGAGTCCTAGAATATCAGCACTCTTATTTTCTTATGGATTAAATGACACAAATATCAACTGTAATTTTTATGTTTATATGAATAAAACACTCATAAATTGTTACAGAAGCAGCTATAGTTAAATCAAAAAAATATGGGTTACTTAAATTTCATAGGAACCTTCATTCTGTTTCCTGGCGTAATTTGATCTGGTTTCAACATCACCGAGTCGGTTGCCTGCACGTTTAAAAGATAACGCACGTCTCGAGATTTTTCCACTTATTATTTTATTATTGCTATTACGACCCAGTAAAAAGTAAAACCTAGTGGGCGATGCACTTATTGTAACTGTATTTCTGGTCTTTAATATGCGTGTCAATATTATTTTATGGACATTCTTTGAAAGTAGATTTAATTTATTTACATACAAAGTTCCAGTATTATTGACATTGTATCAATTTTTTGAACAATACAAATTGAATTAAAACAAACTATTAAGTGTTTAAAGAAATTAGTTGTATAGTTATAGACTCATAGTATGTACCTACAGTATTTAATTTATGCTTTATGTAATATGGTAATTCAAATAATGAAAAATATTTATAATTATTTTTCTTCTACAGTTCTATGTATGTATACTACTGATGGTGACTATTTATACATTTTTTCTAACCCAATGTACTTGTTGTATTCAAACATTTAAAAGTAGAATATTATAATTTATTATTTGAAAATATTAGGTAATTATTCTTTTATTATTTTATGATAAAAACATTATAAACATTTGATTTAATTTCTTATTTTAAAGAAACAAATAAATTTTTGCATTATTGGATTTTATGTTATACAAAAGCCGGAAGGAAGATATGGGTTGTTAAACATTACTGATACATACTTCCGGTAACCATGATCATATCCGTTCAATCCACCTATCTCTACCGAATGAGTATAAAAAAAACATTGGATCGTTTTTTTAAATAGTCGTTCGACTCGTTTTACAACGTTGTTGGGATTGAAACTGTGCGGGCGTGACTGGTTCTCTATCAAAAAAAAAACATTGTTATGAAACGTAAAATACTGTGTCTAAATACAATCGCCATGTGTGTAACCTATAATACATATTTGGCAAGTTTCTCACAGCTGCACATTAGATGAAGGACAAATTTAAATTATAACTGATTTTTTGCTAATTTGATTATTGAATTAACTGTTAAGTATTTTAATATATTTTAAATCGATAAATATTTACAAAATCAAAACGAATTTGTTAAATTAAGGTAAAATTATACGATTAATCACTTAAATTAAATTACATACATTTGTAATACAATTGTGTGAAAGGTATTTTTTATGTATATCTGGAAATTAAATTTAAAAATAGAAACAATATTGTATTGAATACAGTTATGAAATAATTTATAATTAATAATTTAACTAGTAATATTAAAGAGTCACCTATAAATTAAAAACAAAAAAAACCTACTTTACTCGACTAGAATAACATATCGTTTAGAAAGGTAGGTAATAAACTAATAGGCAAAATTGACTAAAGGTCAAGCCATGGCCACGGACGAATTTACGAACTCCGTTTTGGTCCTTATATGGGCAATTCTAGTTACTTAAATAAACAGTAGTTGTTAAGTGGTTTTCAGGCGTTCCCAACATTTATAATTTTATGAAAATTTTTTTTTCTATCGTTATAACTTCTGTAATTCTATTTGAGTATGAATGATTTGGCCTGGAAGCAGTGTCACGAGTTTGGCCTACTATGGATAGTTCTTTGTTACTTTTCTATACTTCGACATAAATATGTTGATACCTTTTATGAAAACTAACTCAACAGTTTGTTTTCTGATACAAAATTCATTACAGTTTACAAAAACATTTATTTATGTGTATCAAATTAACCAAAATACAATTTGTTTAGTTTAAATTGTGAGTACAATCTTGTCTAATCCCACTTATGTTTGTAATGTTCTTCTTCTTTTCTTCTTTTCTCGGCCCATAACTTAACATTAGCTTCAGAATTGACGGCTTTCTGAATAAGGTAAAATATTGGCGAAACAATTACAGTTGCTCCAATGAACCATGGAAACATCCAATGTTTCTTGAAGTGTAGTTTGAACGGAAACTGTACAACCTTAGATGTGAATGTGTATGGAAAAATCATCTTACGGCTTAACTTTTCACCATTGGCCATCTTTAATTTTTTATTCTTCCAGAGAAAAAAAATTTATTTACCTTTAAAATCGGGTAATAATTAATTAGGTCTTGAAAGAGCGATGCAAATTACTTATTTATTGATATCTTATTTGAATTCAAATTATTTAGAAAAAGATTCATATTTGGTTAACAAAAATAAATATACCTAAAAATGAGTAATACTGTTGAATTTTGCAGTGTACGCCTGTTGTACGTTTATAATGGTTTTATTTAAATTGACATAACATTTATAACCATAGTAACAATGTAAATCGCTAAACTTATTTCTACTTTAATAATATATGTTTTTATATACGTAGCTTATTTGTATATCGCTCGTATAATAATATTGTAGATATATAGGTGTTATAATAATGACATTATTATTATATTACTGCCCGTTGATATTCATTGTTATCGCTAATTACGTTATTGAACTGAGTTTATATTGTGTTTTAAATTATAATTATCATTTATGCAAGTATGTGTCATGTAAATAATTGTAATATTACGTTATTTAGTAACGATAAGTCCATCAACAATGACTCTAATAATACCAGATCTTGATAAAATTATTAAACAAATTTAATACAATTATGCTCTTTCCTTCTTTTCAAAAGGTAATTATTTTGAATATAATATTTGTGGAAATGTAATTTTCCCAATACTCGAGGGAAATTCAGTCCACACCAATTTTCTCGAGTGAAGAATTGGTTTCTAATGTTGTTACATGATTAGAGTTTTTCATTTTGACATTACAATTGCAAATTCTCTAAAAATAAAAACAACACAATGATGAAAATTAAAAGACGTCATTTCTATACAATATAATCACAACTATAAAAAAGAGAAAGTGGGTTCACAATTCGGACTGTTAAACATTACCGTTGTGCTTCGTACCCTATACATAAATAATATAACAATTATTACATTGTATACATTTTTAATTTTCTAATTTTCTTTTTTTTTAAGGTTATTTTTTCAAATACTTGAAAATGACTGTTAATATTATTGAAATAAAAAAATTAAACTATTTATGTAAAACAATTTAAAATACAAGACTAGTATAATAAGATCACGTATAATAGTTGTTATAACTTATAAATGCTGTATTTATTCTACACTAAATAAAAACAAATTTGTCGTTAATAATAAGTGCAAGTCATACAATTTCCTTACCTTAAAGCAAAAATACATTTTATGTAGAGACAATTCAATTTAATATTATAATAATTATTTTTTTAAATGTAAAATTACCCTGTTTTAGATAACAAACATTTTTACAATAATTGGTTATTAATTGTCGGTTATCATCGGACTAATCACTATAGTTGCTAAGTTTTTGTCACTTTTTATCAGTAGATAAATAATATCCTATGTTAGAATATAACAATATTATGATGTGAGTATAATTAAATATGTATAAAAAAATGGTTTTGTTATCCGTCACAGTCGAAACCTGAGATTTCGTGCTCATAATATTTTAAAGCTTGTTGAATAAACTAAACACCTTAACTATATTTTTACATATCACTCAGAAGTTTGTCTAAATTTCAAACTTTCGCTGTAGCAACAAATTTTACAAGACCAGTCTGCAATGATGATTCAGCAATGCTATTTATGCAAGAGCATAAGTAGAATAAATTTTACATTTTTTGCGTGTTTATGATTATGGAAGTGATATCAAATTATCTATTCTGAAAAAATGTCATAAAGTATTTTTTGTTTATCTAATACTAACGAAGTAAGGATAACTAGTTCTTATCATCAAAGTATAATTTAATTATTATTTATATAAAATATTGAACAATTTAATGTACATTTAAACATAATTTATGTACACAAATAAATGATTATGAGTCTTACTTATACGGTACACTAAATAATATGTACGAGTTTCCCCCCTATAAGTATTTATTACGTAAAAATATATTTTGTTTTACTTAAGAAAAATAATTTATTTGAGAATATTAAGTATCATGGTGTAGAAAAAGTGTATCATATGAATTAAAACTATGATATACCATTATATAATAGTTTCAGGATCAATTGTTTTCTTTGTCTTTGGTATATCGAGTACCGACCAGACATACGGATAATTTTACTTGGGCCTTGTTGTATCTGCTGTGTATTTATAATCGTATTAATTACTTTAGCACACAGCCGCAGTGGCCAATGCTAATAAGTGGTTTATTTATCTATCCTTTTCAGATATATGTATTATATATATAGGTAAAAAATGTAACAGATAGACTTGACAAATGAAAAATGAAAAATATATAAAAGTTTCATTTATTTGTATGAAAAAAATTATGAAAATTACATGGATAATATTGACAATAAAATTGCCAAAAATAATGTTTTGAAAAAGTTATTTTTAGGTAGATTCAAATTAATTTACTCGAAAAAAATTATAAAAACAAAACTACTTGACTTAAATAAACGTTTTAAACAAATTTTCTATTTTTAGTCCTTCCAAAAAAAATGTAATTAAATGTATAACTATTTATGTTGAGTATTAAAATATAAAAATAAAAATTGTATAGCATATATGTAGTACGAGCGTCTATAAAATATGTAGATTATACATTTTAAATTTTTATATTGATTAGAACAAAAGTTATTTCATTTGTAAGGTCTTTCTGTTACTTGTTTATAATATAGTATATCCTTGGTAAACAAAAAAACAGATACATTTATCTTTTTAGAATTTTATAGAGGTTATAGGTACATAAAATTATCTTTTATAATTACACCCGGGGGAAAGGGCATCTGCAGGAATTTGTAAGAGCAAACAATTTTCCATTATTCATAATATATTTATTCTATTTAAATATAGTGATTTTTTTTAGATAATCATACCTTCATAAAAAAACTATAGTAAACAACTAAATTAGTTCGAAATTTACTTGTCTCATTTATTAGTTATAAATTATAATATTTCTTAATTTTATATCAACGTGTTATCAGTTTTCACCGCCTGTAACCATGCCTTATTTAATCATACTTTTTTACAAACATATTCTTTAATCGAATATTTATGACTTAGATACTATTAGACAATTATACCTGTAAGAAACAAATGTTGAGGTTGAAACTGCTTCTTTTTGTAGATGTCATTTCGAAGGATGGGATTTCGTAAATAGGTTATCCACTGGTACATGTAAATACCTATAATAATAAAAATAATACCTATTATTATATTTATTATTATTAATACCAATTATGTACTACACAATTTAAATACTACAAATTAATATTGTATGTACTTTATATGTAATATACTATAATGTGTTTAGAAAGTTTGAAAACCCTAAATTTGTGATATCACGTGTGTAATAATGATTATAGGTCAATTTAATTGAACTACAAACTTCTGAAATATATACTATATAGCAGGGGCGGCCAAACGGTCGATCGCGGACAATTTCAAAGTTGATCATGTTAGAATTTATTTTGAGGGATACGCGTACGAAAATTAATCGAGGTTGTAGTGAACAAATCGTAGATAAGTTTTATCTGTGTAATGAAAAAATGTTTCTATGAAAGTCGATCCTCAAAGGTGACGTATATTTTTAGTAGATCGTGACCAAAAAAAGTTTGGGGGACCCCTGTTATATAGTATTTACATCTAAGTAATTGTTCAAATGTTTAGTAATGAAAATTTCTGATCATTCTACATTTGTTTATGTATATTACACAAAAAATTTTAGATTTTTAAATTATAATTATAAAGTTATAATTTTCTTATTTTAAGGCGTACCTCGAGTCTTTAAAAAAATATTTATTTACTGTGTATTTGCCGATTCAAGGTCTGATACCGTCAAGACCGAGAAGATAGTTCGCAAATATCCTTATGTTTATTTATTTTTATATTTTCCAAATTAATGTCATAATCACCCCACTGAATAGTTGAGACCGAAACTAATTATAAAATCCAGAGTTCGGAAAACTTTAAAATTTAATTTGTTAATATAAAGTTAATGTTTAATGCTTAAAACCAAGTACGTTCACTTTTTTTAAAGTATCACATTCATGTTTTTTTGTTTATTTAAAAAATCTTTAAATAAATCTTATAGATATAAATAGTTTTATAAAATTTGTTTTGTATATTATGGGAAATAATTAAATCGTATATAATAATAATTTGCACAAATAGATAATCTATTATGAAAAAATAACTAGGTATACAATAAAAGACGTTTGCTTCAAAAATATAATCACTGCAAGGGCAGCGAAGTAGAACATTTTCATTTTAGAACAAAGCTAAATCAAAACCTAAAATTAATATGATTTCAATATTTTTTTGTAGGTTTTAGTTTTAAATTTAAATTACAAAGTTCTTGATAGGAGTTATATATTGTATAAATTAATAATTATTTGAATTTATCAATACCCCCATGGATACATTTAAATAAAAACGCTTGCCAAGTTAGGGATCGGCATGTAAACTTTCTTGATTTTTAAGTTTTAGAAATTAACTGTATGTAATATATATGCATTTGTTACAATACGATTAAACCAAAATTGTACTTGCAAATTAATTTATTGAGAAGTTATTCCATTATAGTAGAATATAGTAGGTTGAATGTAACTGGTTTGAATTTAAGGGGTATTTAAGTCATTTTCCTTGTTTTATTTATTAAACTTGATAAAGAATAGTGTACCTAATACGAGTATTTTCCGATGTCACACCCAAGCGGTAAAACAATTTGAATCCAGAAAAATGTCGGTGTGAACAGCCCCGCCAAACAAAATCATTTTCATTTAGTGAGATAGATCTCCGAAGTCGGGAGCGGATTTTGTTGTTTGGGGTCTTATTAGATTCATATTCTGTAGGAGAAGTCCAGTGAAGATTTTCAGAACTTTATCTTAAATAGTTAATTCACTACAGAGCTTTGAAAAAAATTAAAACACATTTTATTGGGCGTTTTTTTTTTATGTTTTTCGGCTTTTACGCTTGTAGTGAATTAACGATTGAAGGTACAATTCCGAAAATCTTCACTGCACTTCTTCTAGCCGATGTGAATTAAACAGGACCCCAAACAATAAAATCCGTTTTCGGAAATCTACTCCGCTAAATGATGATCTAACGAAAAATAACTTTTTAACTGTGAAAAATATAATACATTTTTTCAAAAAATTTTAATTTTACATTTTGTATTTATTCGATAATCCTTTTTAATGAGCTATCAAGCAACTTTCTATCATATTTTAGGAGAACAGTTCAAAAAAACATTTTTTGGGACTGTTCACTCCGACGTTTTTGTGTGGTATCGGATCGCTCTCATTAATATTTTATATTAAAGCTAGCTAATTATCCACCTGCTTATCATTACAGCGTTACATTTTTAATATTTTCCTTTTTAACTCAAATTCTTGAAGTTTTCAAAATTCAGACTTTTCATTTCAATTACCATACTTACTTGATGCAAAATCGAGAAAGTAAAAATGTTGATACTACAAAATCATAATAATAAAAAAAAATAATTTCATTCAAACAACCTAAAAACAATTAAAGTTCCTTAAAAATAATATTTTGCTCGTGTTCTATTTGATTTAAGTGGGTGTGGACGTTTACCTCTACGCGTCATTCACAAAATATAAACGTTTTGTTTCCAAACACTTACAAAATATATTTTTAAAATAAAATAAAATATATATTGCACATTATAACTTAGGTAATAAAAAATATATAAATTCAAAATCAGTTTTTTATTTTATCGATAATGAAAGACTCACTTCCATAAGTATCTAATACCTATAATCTATATTATATCATACTGGCTTGAAAATTCCATGGTAACAAATAATCCTTTAATAATAGTTAACAATATTGATTGCCATTTAAAATTATCAGTTAGTACAATATTGTTAGCAAGGTTATACCCAGGATTAAATAAACATTTTTATTTATAATATTATGTATTTTATATCAATAATATTGTACAAAAATATTACAACTAATAAACCTATGTCAATAAATGAACAATGAATTATATTACAACTGTGATATATTAGGTGGACCGCGCTGTTATTTTGTTTTTCTGTGTTGGCTATAATATTATTTGGTATCGATATAACACTACGGCCCACCCCACTCATAATCATTAACCATGTGTAAACATAATATAATATGCATTTTATTTTTCATGTTGGGTACAAATATTTGAATTACGAGAAAATGTAAAAAATGTATGCCCGTTTAAGTTAAAATAAAAGTTCCCAGTTTTTTTAACGCCTGTAACCTTTATAAGCAACTGTATTCACAAATAAAAGATATCACTATAGGCATAATATAATATATAGGTACTAGCTTATAATGCCTGTACAATATTGGTAATAGCCTATTAGTGTAGACGTGGTTGTTATTTTTTATATTAATTGCGGCCAACATTAACGCCTTTGCAATCCAGCCTACATCTAATTAATAAAATAGTGTATATACAATATACATATATATATTTAAAGAATAATATTTCTGTTTATGATACATACATACGAATTGCTTATTACTCATCAGTTAAGCTGATAGTGTTATACAAATTATGATTTTATTTTATTTTGCTTGTATCAGTCAAATCTTCTAAATATTATATAGCATACAGTTAATACATCAACAGACAACAATAACATCGCCCAACACTGTACCAAGTCTAATCTTCAATTCAATTTTAGGTGTTATTTATTATATGTCAATTGTTTATTAAAGCGTAAACTACTCGTATATATATATTAAGTATCGGCTTGTCTTTTTCATTAATTTGGTTTATATTTAGTTTCAGTCGCCGCTTATTTCTGAGTTTATTATTTTGGCACTGTTTTATATTTTTGTAGCCTGACTCTATAGTTTTTAAAATAACGGCACATAAATCTGTGTTTTCATTTCTATCTTGCGCTCTTAATCGAAAGGAAATGTTCAGTGTATAGTGTTTATTAATACACAATAGGGGGGCCACGTGTTTTTCGTATTTGGCAAATAGAGGAACCTCAATTTATTGATGTACTTAATGACGTTAATCCCACGAATTGAATAAAGATTAATATGCTTTTTTGTTTTAAATAACTGTTCAAAGATTTGTATCAAATTGATTAATCTTTATTCTTTTTTGTTACAGCCAAATGCAACAAAGCATATAAAATAAACTCTATGCTATTTACACACCATGTCTTGTGTGCGGGAATCATCACCGCAATCGGAACATGTGGTCCAGAGACCAGGTAAATTTATTAAAGATTGATAACAAATAAATAATAATCCATTGAACAATATTTTAAAATTGTAAAAATGTTAATAGAACCCAAAGTACGTCGATTTAATCCACTTAGACGTCTGCGCCGAATATTCAGACGTAAAGCTCAGAGTCCTGAGCCCAACGAAGTCAAATCATGTGACAATATTGTAGAACCACCTGGTTTAGATACATCCAGAAGTCGTTCGACTAGTCAGCTGATTGACGAGCCATTTGCCAGAAGGCGGTATGTACAAAGAATGAAGTTCTTTTTTCATCTTTCACGCTCCAGGGCAACGTTTTAATGAAGTTTTTAAATTAATTATAGAAGCTTACACTCCACTATACTGAGCGTTAGCCACGACAGTGTGTTCAACCCTGAACAACATTCTGGTCAATCCGATTCTGAATCTGCTGTATCCGTGCCGCCATTAGGATTTCCTCAAGCCAATATACAGGTAATTAAAAATTCTATTTTGGATTTGATATAATAAAAAAATAATAATACCTACAAAGAAGAAACCATTATTATATATTATCGGTATTTTAGAATATTATATTCGTATTATCTTAATACATTTTCTCATTGTTTTCAATACATGTATACAGTCATTAGTATTGTTCGTTTTAATTTTTTCAAATGGTGCAAAACACAATAGCTAATTTCCGTTTAATTTGCCAAACGCTTGTTTTCTAATATTTTTTAAACCAATCACATTCTGCCATCCATGCAGCGTTCGATGAATTATGCATATTTATATAAAGTCGTATGAATGATGTAAGTGTGTTCTACTCAAATTTACTGTCTAACCTAACTCACAGAAACAGAACTCTCACTTTGTATCGTCAAAACATTTAAACATATAAGTTCCTTTTCAGTTTTCTTAAAAACATATGGCTCAAGTAAGTAAATTTTATAAGTCGTTCTAAGTAATATCTAGGTATAAGTAGAATCTAAGTATAAGTCTTATAGTAAAAATAAAAATAAAATAAAATAGTTCTAGTTAAAACACTACTTATCTGAATTCGACCTGGAACCATAAAAATATCATATTTATTAGTTTGCGTGCGTTTTACATTTTCTCTCGATTAAAACTAGATAAGCGAGGTTGATGCGCGCGCTAGTGCATTAACGACCTATTATATTTAGTATGTGTACCAGACACTATACAATGGCCCGAAGCATTTCGAATAGGGAGAATTGCGGGAACCCAGCTGACCGTGACCTTTAATCATCACTGTGTAGCAAACCACCATGTGTAACGCCCTGTTGTGATACCTTCTGTGTCTGATGATATTACTGCTACTATATACTTGATAGTCGATTCTATATATTATTTAACTTATTAAATTTGTGTACCTCATACTTTACGTATAACTATGAAATAATGTATAATATTATGACGATAATTGAAGCTTATTTGAATTTAAGTCTAATTCATTACGAATAATTAGGTACTTATAATTAAAAATTAAAACCATTTGATAATGTTTATTATATATTTGCTTGGTGTAAATCTTTAATGTTTAACTGTAATTATAATATATTCATTGATATCCAATCGAATTCAAAATATATTATAAATTAAAAATAAGGATTAACCTGTTCCTTTTAGACGTTATTATTAAAAATAATTAATTAATTTTTACTTATCACACAATCAGTAATCTGCACTAAGATTACCGAAGTGCAAAACTGCAATCAGTGTCAAAAAATGATAATTTAAAGCAAAATTGAATGAAACACATGAACAAATTATACATGTATCAATTATGATTATAATAATATATTGGCCATGGAATACCAAATCTATTTTTAATATCTTAATACATTATTTGATTATTTAATTTTTCATACTACAATTTTTTTTAACTTTATAAAGGCCGAATTACTAGAAGCGGTAAGAAGGCGAAGAAAAATTCAAGATGACGATGATAGTTTTGATATGGACAATGAAGATTTAGGACTCCCACGAAGTCCATCAATGCATTCTCCTACTATTGCCACTGGCAACGATCTCCGATTGAGCAAAGTAAGACTAGTAAGATATATAGCTTAAGAGGACGCTATACCCGCATGTGTTGTCTCCGTCTTACAAACGTACAACGTGACAAATTTTACGTCCATAATAACGCATTTTATTTTGTAATTTCTAAAATTAGAATGAATTTACCTCTTATAAAATTAAAAGGCAAGAATATAATCTAGGGCAGATTTTATTGATATTATTATTTTTAAGTTCGTTATGATCGTTTTAAAACAATTCAAACAAATTGTTCAAACAATTTACAGTTTAAAAGTAGTATAACTAACTTAAAAATTCTAATATCAATGAAATCCTCTGAGATGCCCTATATAATATTCTTGCCTCTAAATGTTATAAGAAGTAAATTCACTCCAATTTTAAAAATAACAGAGTGAAATGTATAATTGTGAACGTAAAATTTGTCACATTGTACGTTTGTGAGACGGAGACAACAAACGCCTATGTGTCCGCTTAAACGTATTTTAATAAACAATGATTTTTAAAAATGTATCTTTAGGAGCTGATTACTAAATCTTCACATAGTACATGCAGTGATGGATCACTCCTTAGTATGGGCAGTTCCGAAATGGACGAAGTATGGCATTTAATATATTATAACTAAAATTATTATGATAGTTGATAAGAGCCCCAATAGACACACAGTATAAATGCAAATTAAATTTAACAATTAATATTAAAATATGCACAGTACACGATACAAGTTTTAATTTTCATATTTTGATTTTAAAATAATGAGTTAAAGGCCGTTCTTACAATGTCCGGTTAAAGTTAATGAACACTTAATCCGCTGAATTCTTCCGGTTATAAAATCTGGTATCAGCCGATTAGTATCGGTTAGCATTAACCGACACTAACCTAACCGGACATTGCGAGATCGGCTCTAAGAGGAAGACCTAATGAGAGATAGATAGGTATGCAGAATAAAGAGTGACATGAAAATAGCAGTGTTGGTGAGTTACGGCCCAATCCCTAAATAACGATTAGTGGCGACCCGTTCTCATGAGAGGTAGATGGTAGGGTATATTTTATTAAATATTGAAACATAATTTTAATTAATAATTTAAATAGTCATAATTAATTGTATAAACATATAGCACGAGTTATATCACATTTTGTCAATTGATTGCATAAATTTAAATTCCTATTTAAATAACAACGTTTAAAAATAAAAATTTAGTCTAAAATATATTCTTTTATTTGTAATAATGAATACAATCTTTCTTAAAGGATTCTTTTGGAGCACACAATTCTCGATATTCATCCAAAATATCGTTACATGACAAGCGCACGTCTCAAACTCATCTTGACAGTTCGGGTAAACGTCACGAACATCTTTTAATATTTTTAATGTTATATTTATTCATCATATATGTATATAGTATTGTAAACCTATGTATTATACATTGTGCAGACGGTGACTATTCGACAAGTGTTCCTCTTAGTCATGCCGTGGCTAAACACCGAATGGCGATCAGACCCAAAAGAAAGCACGGCAACCCTCGCAGCAAAAAACCTGTAAGTCTTGATGATCCAATTGTGTTATATTTTTAATTTCCAAATACAATGAAACTTCCAATATTAACAACACTTTCTGTTTAACGAAATATTTTTGAGTACCAAATTAATTTAATTCTATTTAACAAATGTCTCTGTAATAGAGACTACGTATTATGGAAATTTCACTGTATTTATATAAATATACCAACGACACGTATAATCATCGATGTTTTACACTCAGCTGTCTGTGACGAATGCTCTTCCCGCGACGCCTGAAGTGAACGAAGAGCACTCGGGCCGGTCAACTTCGCCCGAAACCAAGCCTCAGACTGCCGACACAGCAGGTATATACAATTACGGCCAAAGCTATTCCGCTTATTATCCCAGCAAATTCAAGGCTAGACGGCCGTCGAAAAATAACGCTTTTGCTAAACCGAAACGTAAATTACCACCGAATCGACGGTCCCGCGCTTTTCGGCTGTGCGGCTGCCTCAGCCGTAGCCGTTCCGGAGCGTATCGCGTACGAAACGACACGCTCCCGTATTTTGTACGGAGTTCGTCCGTCCGCCCTGTCGGATTTAACAAGATTTCTCCTCCGTTGTCGATCCGCAAACGACGACAATCACCACCAATATCATCACCGCCACAACCACCACCACCACAACGACAACAACAACAACAGCCACGACAAATTGACGTGACCCAAGGTAGAATTAGACTGAATTTGTACGCTTATCCGGAAGGGTATTTGGCGTTTCTGGAGAGTTACTTCGTGTGTACTAGTACGAGTAGTGGTAGTAATTGTGGTCCGAGTAATAGTAACTTCGACGACGATGTGGCGTCGACGAGAAAAAGACTGTCCGCCATCAGCGAAGAGGACGTGTGTCCCCTTTGCGGCGGTTCCGTGGACTACGCAACGATGAAAAATGCCATCACAATGACTAGTCGATGGAAAAACGCATTGCTAGTGCCGTTCTAAAATTTAATGTTATTGCTATTATTTAGATATAGATCAACTCGCGCGCGTTCGTGTTTGGGTCGATGCTTTGGATTATGATGTATACTTACCTAAAAATAATTATCGCTCTTTTCCTTCATTAATCCGCTACAGTTGCGTCACGTGGACTTTCAGTTTTTTATTTTTTTTTTTTTTTTACTTCGCACTCACTACTACTACACGTGTTTTTTTTTTGCAGATGGCACCACTACCATCAGCACCGTCACCTCAGACACTAAAACCACCACCTCCTCCACCACCACCAACAACATCTCCTCCAACACCACCACTACTACAAACGACACAGTCATCACTACTGTGGTGCCTGTCGTTGTCACCGACACAGCTTGCACCGCCACTGGCTCGACGGTCGGGTCCTGTGATTTGGACACTTCGGTGGACGAGATTTCTGTGGAAAACGTTCCACGGCGCGAAGAGGGCTTTTTCCACCGCTTGTTGTCGCGTCGAAGCACCAAGAAGAAAGCCGCTGCCACCAAGTCCGCGTCCACCGAAGACGTGGACGTGGACCGGTTCCTGTTCGACGAGTCGACGGGCGCGAGGCCACGGCAACGTGAAGAACCGCCGCCGGCCGGCCGCATGCAGCTGTCGTATCCACCCGACATGCCACCCGACCACGGTCCACTGCACCATCGCGTCCCCGTGTCGTCAGTGGCCCCCGCCGAGGACGTTTTCGAGCCAGATACGTTCGCGCCGATCAAACAGTCGTTCAGTCTCGGACAGCATCACACTCACCAGACGGCCGCAACAGACGACGACGCCACGTCCAGTGGCGACGGGTCGTCCGTCCAGAAATCATCATCGTCGGACAGCGTGTCCAGCGCCGTCCTGGACGAGTTGGTCGATTCGGCGGTTGCAGTGTCGATGACCACCGACGAACGGCATCGGAGTTATAGTTCCAGCGACTCGGAACACCAAGTCTGCGGTACCGACGGTAGTCTACAACACTTGCGCCCAATACCCGCTCCGCGTCCATCCAAACTCTACAACGGCGGAGGCGGCACCGCGGCCGACGTGGTGGTGCGGAGGAAAAAGCGTGACGACCAACAGCAACCCGAACTGCTGAAGGTGTTCGCCCGGCGGTCGCTGAAGTTGGGCAAAGAAGGCGAGCCGGAATTTTTGTTGTTGTCGGCCGACATCGACCGCGGTGACGACGGTGATGGCGACAATAAGGAGATAACAGCAAACGGCGAGTGGCCCGTGGAACAACAGGTCGCGGTGGCGTCCGAGGACCGCGTGGTCGTGGTCGTGGTGGACAACGATAACCGTCACGCCGAGCACGTGGTGGTAGACGTCAACGAGAACCAGACAGTTGCGGCGGCGGCGGCGGTCGAAGTCGTGCCCAGGTTCAAGCGCATACAGCAGCGCCGGGAGGAGTGGGAAAAACGTCTGTTGCAGCAACAGCGGAACTGAGCAAGAAACCAACTTACGTACTCGTCCTCTTTTTTCTCATCAATTCCACCTCAACCCTTTCCGGCTGTTGTTATTATATATTTCACCTTCCCCCGACTGGTGGGGCGATTAACTATTTTGGAGCACCCCGACAAATTAGTGTAATCGCTTTTTACAGTTTAATATTTATTCCTTTTCTATATAGAACGGTGCTAGATGATGGTTGTTCACTTTTTACTTGAGTAGCCTTGAACGAGACTATGAAATCAATGGTTATGACTTGGGTTGTGACTTTCATTAAAATATTCGTTACAATAAACACGTACATTGTACACATGCAATATATATTTTGATAAATTAAAAAAAACTTGATAATAATAATTCAACAGATATTACCATTTTATAAAATTAATATAATGAATGTTCATGTTATAAAAATTATATATTTATGTATATTTTATTATATATTCATAGTGAGAAAGTATGATAATATTGTAGTTATGTTGTTTTGGACAAATATTTTTTTCGTCAGATATAAAAGTCCTATATATTTCAAAAAGTTATTTAGATAATATATATAATAGGTACTTTATTATATTTACGTATTTTATTGAGTCGATAAATAGTGATTGGTGTTCTAGTAACGACGTTTGTTTTTCGTTAATTTTTTCATAACTGTTAATCTGTGATTTCAAAACGTTTAAGACATTTTATTAATAATAACTTTACCAAACTTTTATCTAAAATTTAATAATTGTTATTACCTTCCCCATTATTTTTTTCGTTGTTAAAGTTCCTTCCTCTTTATAAATTTACTACCCTGTCCATTATTTTAAGTATTTAATAGTGATTTTTTTAATTTATATGTTTATACCTTTCGACAATACTATTTACAATATGCTCGTCGTATACGATACGTCGCCGCGTTCTTGCCCTCTCCATAAGCGCTGCACGAACCCCGTCTGACAATAACTCTCGCAAAAATGTCACTATTTTAACCGCACATACCAATTACCAGGTATATGGTCGCGGAAGAACATGATGCGTACGCGAATTAGGTCCGGATGACGACGGACGCGTTCTTGGCGAACCGTCCGTACGAAATTTCCCATTTGATAATGGTATCGACGTTTCGTTCCGAGTATTTTTCCCCGTCAGGTTGTGTTGTGTTCTATTTTAACGTAGACTTATTTTTACACGATCCTATTTAAGATTAAATTCAAAATAACATTTTTTTTTTAAATCCGATCGACTGAGACGTAATGAACCGTGATCTCCGCAGTATTTTGACGGTCGATCGACTATTATATAGTATATACTGGTTGGATTTAATATAAAACATAACAAAAACATTAACCTCGTGTAATTTTTTAATCAAAATACCAAAAAAAAAAATACCCTTTACGTATACGTACTACTAACAACTACACATATATATCGCAATACCTGACATTTTTCGGCATATTATTATTACTATCATTATTACTATTATCATTGTGATCATCATCACGTTATTATTATTACCTTTTTTTTTAACGCTTGTATACTTTTATTTTTTATTATTATTGTGTATTTATAAATATGTTAAATATTTATTTTTCGTAAAACCATGTATTTTTGTATTTATATTTTATGACCAACATAATAATATTTTTAAATCGACATTATTATATTATATTATATTATATATTTAAAAATCGTTGAAAAAAAATTAAAAACTAATTATTACAAAGTGTAACAAAATTATTAATACATATATATATATAAATATATGGATGGCATGATTTTTGATGACCGAAAACTGCTTGCTGATTGTCAGTTGATTTCCGTTTCCCTCTGATGACTTTCCTCAATCGTGTCCGTCCTCTCGTCGTCTGGCTGCTGCAGTTCTTCGTCGCCGATTTGGACAGAAGCGCCATCTCGCGACTGTTGTGAGTGACGTTTCGACAATCCTCGCAATCGACTAAATGTGTCAACCGAGAAAACAAAAACGAAACCGATTTAAAAAATAATCTCAAAATGATTTCTCCCTCCGCTTTTGTAGTTGGGTTTGGAAGTCTGGTACTGCGGACGATACTCACTTAACTGCCTGCGCCTTTTTAGTCTTGACAAACACCCGGTAACCGACGCATACCAGGACGAGAAACAGCGGCCCCAACAGGAGAAGCATGATCGGTACGATCGTCACCAGGGCCCTCGACGAAAACTCTTGATGACCTGTTGCCCGAACGTCGACGGCGCGATTAGTCAGTGTATTGTAAGTAAGTATACGCTTAATATTATATTTTATTCTTCATTTGGGAAATGAAAAACTTGTGCAGCATCACCCGGACAATAATCAACTACTGGCTTGCTGATTATTTTAAGTTTAGCGATCGAAAAATCTTTTTTATAAAAGGTAACCCTAACCTATGGTTTTACAATAATATTATGTAAATAGCTAAATTACGATTGCACTGCATTTTGCATTATTATAATTAGCCTAGTGGTGCGAATTTTGTGTGTTGAATCTTTTGTGGAATCGTTCCTATGGGTAAACTGTAAAGTGCTTATAGGTTACAACGAAGTAACGATTTCAAAAAAAAAACTCGTTACGTTGGTATAATCGGTCGATAATTTTTATCGTTGAATGATTATCGTATTAGTGTTGTTACCAAAGTGGATACCTATATTAAAATATTGATCTACCTTGATTGTTACAAATGTACCGTATAACCGATATCGTTTTTGTCCTGCAGATAAAAACTAATGAATATGTGCACTTGCCACTTTACACTTAATAAAGAGTACCCGCTGTGTAAATACCTATTATAATTAGTAAGCGTATCTACTTGTCACTTGATATCAAGTGCAGAGAACCACGGTAAGATATAAACAAAATAATACTTAAGCTATCATTGTGCACCTATTTGTCTATTTGTGTTGACTGTGGATTATGAATTCTATCGTGTGGTTTTTATCGATTCCACGGTTGGGGACCATTAGGTAATTTGTTACTTTGTATGGATGGAACGAATGTGGAACTGAAGAATTCATTTTAGAGGATGTCAGCGCACTATTTGTTTTCTCTCTTTGGTCCACGCGCAACATAGACAAAACGGATTTACGCAGAATCATTTTTTCTATGTTTTTAAGTAATCTTAGAGTAAAATCACCCATCACAAAAATGATAGAGAACAATATTTTTGAGGGTATGACATATCGATTTGTCTAAATATTTTCTCAAAACAATTTAAACATCATTTAAATGTACAACATTTTTTTGTTTATTTTGAAAGTCGAATACAAAGTCAAATTCCAATAAAATATAAAATCAATATGACATTCCCTCGAAAATATTATTCTCTATCTTTTTTGTAATGGGTGATTTTACTCTAAGATTATTTACAAACACAGAAAAAATGATTCTGCTTAAATGTAGTTTGTCCATATCACGCGTGGGCCAGAGAGAGAAAACAAATGGTGCGCTGACATCCTCTTAATAATAAGTTATAGCCTATTATACAGAGGTTATTTGTACATTTTCTCGTGTGCTCTAAATAAATCATAGAAACAATTTTATTTTTGGTCTTATAATAGTATTCGTTTGGCGATGGTACCTATCCAGCTAACGTCTTCGAATGTACTAAATAATACTGTCCCTACACTTGAAAAGAAATAAAACACGGTTCATGTGAAATGAAAATGATTGCGATTTAATTAAAACTTTATAACTTAATCGTTAAATCGTACATGGGTGCACAATCTCGGTACGAATGGCATACAAAATTGGTAATATATTTACAATCAGTGTTTATAAATAATTATAAAATATTTACATTTACATGTACTTAATAAAGAAAATATCGAAAGCCGAATTTTCATTCCACATGATTGCCATCACGGCGACGTTTATAATAGTATAGTTAATAACTGTGGGTTATCGATTTCGGTACTAACTGCGTGGCCGAAGAGGAGCTTCTACATAACACTATCAGGTACGTTGTTCTAAGTGTAATCACTTCGGTGTTAGAACCCACCGAAATAAAATAATTAAACAAACATTTGAGGTGCTCGCCGTACTTATAATTGTTGATACGGACGTTGGTAGGTTGACGAAAACTACGAGTATATTAGATAATATTAGCATGTGCAATTTAGATTTTAGGATATTCCTTGGAATATTATTTTAATTCATAGAATATAACTGATGATGAACGATACTACCGAATTGATGGATGAAATGACGCATAATGCATTGGTGTTAAAATGTATTGATAGCAAGAAATATCAAATATTTGCTAACTAATATTAAACACCCAAGTATACAAAATTCAAATTACATATTATTATATCTCATAAAATTTTTGAAATAAAAAAATTGTTTGGTATAAAATAACATAAAATAATATTAAATAGAGTGTTTTGAAAATAATAAATTCCGGTTAAATGCGTGTATCTGGCATTGGATTTTTAAGGTTGTATCGAGTTTCGATTAATTTGGGCCCTAGACCCTGAATAACAGACTAATCGGCAGTTCGGCGCGAAAATATTTTACACACGCGTGAACGAGTCCAATAAATGATAAAAATACAATATTATTATTGCATATCTTTCAAATAGATTATTTTTTATGTTATATTGTTTTATAGTACCGCCGCCGTTTCATGTTTGGAATGAAATTTCGTCCTTTTACACACACACACACACACACACACACACACACACACACACACAAGAAAACGATTATTTTTTCATTTTCAAAACGAGTCTTTGAATCTGGACGGCAAAATCTGTTTTTGGACCGCTACTGAAGGTCCAGCGGGCGACCGCCATCCTGCGGTCCCTTCGGGCACCATCGGCTGAAGCGGCGGCAGCGGTGGCTGTGGAAACGTCGGCGATCCTGGCACGTAAATGGCCGTCCTCTTGTCCACCTTGTCCAGCTGTCCCTCGTACTCGGCGTCCAGGTCCCAGACCTTGTTGTGATCGAAGTCCACATCCGGTTTGCCGGGCAACGGTTCGTTCGTCCGGTACACGGCGTCGTACGACCGGCGCGGGTTCGTGGAACTGGGCACCGAACTGTCCGGCCCGTCCTCGGTGGACGACCCGCCGCCGCCGTCGTCATCGTTTTCTCCGTCGTCGCGGCGGTGGCGCCCGTTATTCCTGGCCACCGCGCCCGCCGACGACAGGTCGACCGTGCTCAGAGCCAGCACCGAGTTGCGCCTCTTGGCCGCCCGCGCCGTCTGGTACCGCAGGCTCAGCCGGCCGCTGCGCCGGTACACTCGCGACACCACGCAGCAAATGCCTACCAGCAGCGGTACTATGAAACCCGCAATCAGAGCGATCGTCGTCCACGCGCTCCGCGACTCGTACTCGATGTGACCTTTACACCACGTCATCACATCACTCTTATATTGCATTATTGTAGGGATTTTATAATATTATAATAGTTTATTATATTTTATGGATAATAATAATGATTTTATGTATTGGTGGGCACGTGCAGTCAGTGGCGTATCGGATAAGCAATAGGCCAAGAGATGGCGAGAGATTAATATTATGTTCTATGGAGTACGCACTATGCAGCGAAACCTGCCTTAACGTAGGGATTCCAGGTACGTTTGTGTATTATACGATATTGAATCAGCCTTGTACTATAATAATAAGTAAAAACACTTTGGTCCTGTCTATAATTGTACTCCTTAAATTTCATGATTTTTTGTTTTTGTTATCAATTTTAAATGATAAATATTTATAAGTCAAAAAATTTGATCTGTAAAATGAATTAATAATTTTAAAATAGTATTTGCATTGAATGTCTAAAATATCTTCTCACCTCATTTGTTTAAAAATAGTGTTACCTATAAATTTCAAGTTCTCAATATTTGAATAATGGTTAATAATTTGTTTTTACTATATTAATTTCAACTATTAAAAATTGTTTTAAATTTAGCATAAATATTAAACTTGAACTTATACGTAAGTCGACGGTAAAAAGAATATTATTACTATTGTCATTTTAAATTTAAAAATGTATATGAAGTAAAAACGGGTTCTCCTCCCTCCCCGATTAATGATTATCTAATTTCTTGAAACTTAATTAAGACCAAGATAAAGTAGAGGCCAGTTTATAGATATTTTAAGTAAAAAATAAGGTATCAAATATTGTTACTTGTTTGGACATCTGGGGACCTACTTCCAAAACGCCACTGATAATAATATTTAGTTATAATGTGGATAATATAAAAAATACGTCGACGTGTTTCGTCCGATGTTTTAAACTTTCAAATTTGTTAACTATAGAAACATTCATCAAGTTGGCAAATAAAAACTTTTTAAAATGTTTAAGATTTTATGTTCGCCAAATACAATAATCATACCTAACAGTTTATGCTTAACGTCTATTGTCTAAACCTACTTCAAAAAAAGTTTTTCTGAAAAATTCGTTAATCTAAAACATTTGAAAATATCACTGTACGAATTAAAATTTTTGTCGGTTAAGAAATCGATAACGTCCAGTTATATTAAGTTTGACTAAATTCTTTCCTTTCTATGATTTTTGAATAGTATAATTTCCCAGCTAGTACAATAGACAACCATTTAATTGTTAAGTGTCCTCTACAATCATGTATTCATGTACCTATTATATTATATGTAAAGAGTACACCATACAAAGAAAAGTTGATGTCAAAATACGTTTTGTAGATGAGGAAACACTTAAACATCCTAGCAATCACAGCACTCGCTTCTCGATAGATAATTAAAAGTGTAGGATTTGCATGTTATTAGCAACGAGTGTGTTCTTAAGAAACCATATTTTTCTCTTTTTTAGTGAATAAAAATAATTACACCCACTGACTTTCAATTCAAAATCAATGGTCATGATTAGAAAATGTATGTTTATTGTATAAATTCTGTTTTATATTGTCCGGGTTGTAGCTATATTTACTAACTTTAAAAAAAAAAAAAAAGCAGTTAAGAAGTAGGTGCTCCAATGAAAGAAATTGAACGGAGTTAAAATGTTTTTGGGTTGGCAAACTTTTCTTCAAAGATACGGCAAGTACCTATGATATAAACGTTAATTGTCGATTTTTGGTTTTCTGAGTAAGGGCCCCCTAGACCACTGTCTATAATATCACATATTACATCTACCTACGTGCGATTTTTCCTACTCGATAGTCGACCGTTATTATATTTTTATCACAAGTTCAAAACATCAACAGTTGGCACTTACGTAAGCATTCCGTGTAACCATACTCCGGTATGTCCCATTTACCGTCGGACGAACAAGATCTTCTCTGGTCGCCAATCAATACGAATTCTTGATTACACTCGAACGTTACCTTGGTGTTGGGTACAAACAAAAAGTTACTTTTTCGTCCGAAACGTGGCGTTTCCAAAACTCCGCAAGATATCACTATATGCAACAGTACATATTAAATAACTAAAATATTATGCTTTATTATGTGATCGGATAATCCACCAATAGCTAATAGGTATACGCGTGTCTCTAAAATCAGATAGATTTTATATTTATATACTTTATATTACCTCTCTGTTTGCTCATCTTTTTCGTATTGACATACCCGTCTTGATATTGTAACGTGTAAAACGCTAAATCCCTGTCTAGACTGACCGCATAATCGTATTTACATTGGTATGAGTCCCCGCAAAGTTCGTTGGCTTTCTGTATGTCGGAAGATCGGTTAGCCGGTATAATGAGTTCCGGAGTTGGCTCAAAAACAGGCTCAAACGTCCGGTTTGCATAATAACTAGCCGTTCGACCGTATTCTCGAAAGAATAATGCGCCACCTTTGTTCTTCTCGTCTCTGTCTTCTAAAATCCCTGTGAGAAAAGAATGAATAAATCATAATAAATATTAATACAAAGTTATTACAAAATAACGAAAAATAATTAATAAATACCCACTACCAAATTATCATTAATATTATAATTTAACTCACAATTTGAAGCGTACAGTTTGTGTACTGATTCGAAGTCGAACGTATTAGGCTGTACTATTGTGCCATCTGGTAGAGTAAAATCATCGGACTGGTCGAAACTCCAGTTACCAAATAATCCTCTGGTTCGATTCTAGATGTATAAGAAAGAAAAATTAAAAATACACGAGTGTAAATCTATTCTTTATCTCGTAGTGGTAATACTAAAGTCATTGTATTGGGAAAATATTGTAAGAATTAAATATTTACGATGAACTGCCAGGGCAAATACACTCGAGTAGTCATGAATCCTTTGTTTTCCAATACTTCCAACCCAGCGCCAGACTGAAACATGACCACGATTTCGGATTGGTTTAAAACGTAAGAAGGCGCGTAAACGGTGACACCTTGAAACGAATTTCAAAAAAAAAATCATAAATATTTAGGTGGTTGTAACATTTGACGGTAATTAAAATATATTCGCTTTTGACAGCCGTACCCAATAATGCAATAATACTCTATACTGTGTATAATGGTGATGATTATAAAAAAAAAAAAATAATATATTCACAATTTACCGTGAAAATGTTGCACTTTCAACGCCGGCCTGTCGAAATACACTCGTTTACCGTCGGCAAAAACGTCCATCCTGTACCTCCACTGGGCGACTCTGGGCCGCAATCGGACTTCAATCACGGTGGAAGTATTGTCGCGAGACACTACGGACGTCAGCGTGGTGGCCCTTACCGGGCCGTATATATTGTCCGGCAACTGTTCGAATCTGCCTTGCACGTCGAATTTGAACTTTTCCGATTCCACATGAACCAACACGAACTCGCCTTTGCCGTTGAAGGTGTACTCCAGATCGTCGAAAGTAATCACGTGGGGGTCGCCAAACACGGTAGCTATATGTCATAGGTATATAATATGTATTTTGTATAATATGATCGATGTACAGTTATAAATTTTGGTATCATTAGCTAGGTTTAATTGGCTAATATTCAGTGGTGTATTGGAGGGTATACGCGGGTATACGTCGTATACCCGGATCCCTATTTTTGGATTTATGCGTATACCTTTAAGAAAATTAGTCATTTATGGGTATACGCACGCTTCTAATTTATCATCAGACAATTTAGTCATATTATCACCAAACAAAAGTAAAAACTTAAAAATAATAATTAAATTTTACCCTACTACAAGTTCTTGCGAAGACGATCGGAAACTGCCGAGCGTATATACAATCAATGTACAGCGGTTCCCAAACTGTGTACCTACTAAGTTTCAAAAATATATTGTAAACCACTGCTTTATCGTGTATACCTATTACCTACACTGAATCGGTCGCGGTGTGCCGTGTATGGTTAATCTAATAGTTAAAAATAGATCCATAGTCAAAAAATCGTGTACGATTATTGATAATATAAAACAATAAACATACGTAATTTCAAACTAAATGATAATGACAAATTGGAATAATAATAAAATAATTATTGTTGATTTATTGTGTTATTACTTGTCATCCAATAACCAAATTATAAAATCGAACTATTAGTTTCTTATTATATTAATTCTATTAATTTTGTAAAATATTTTATATATAAATATATTATAATATTATATGATCGATAATGGATAATAAACGTACCGCTACTTCACAAAAAATCACTAATTATTTTTCTGTGCCGTCGACGAAAAAACATAAACCAACACCAACTGATGATGAAGTTGCAATAACTAATAATCCGTCAGAAAGTAAAAAAGTAAGTTATTAAATTGTTAATGTAACCTATTATAATTAATTTATTAATTTACATAACTGACAAGAATTACATTAAAACTGCCTTTTAAGATTTTTGTTTAAACAGTACCTAATATAAGTTCTTTATTTCTGTGTGTAAAATTAGTTTAAATTTATTAATTGTTGTTTATTTTATTGGTCAGTGATAGTTATTCTAGCAATGTTACTAATTACTAATAATTAGTAATATTTTAAGTTTATAATATCAAATATGAAACTATTTAATTATATTTACAGGAAGTTACAGTCAATAATGATGTTGTCTATACATTAGATTCTGCTACTAAAACCATTAATGAAGATTTGGTAAAATATTTAACAATATATATTTTTTTTCTTAGAACTATAAGAAAACTCTATATAGAACTCTCTTTATATAACTCTAAATAATTTCAGGTAACTCAGTGGCCACAGGATTGGACCTTTGAGCAGTGGCAATCAAAAAAAGAAAAATATGCTTGGATGAATTGTCACAATGGTAAAATTGGCTGCTCCAATTGCCAAAAGTTTAGTAATATACACAATTCTAATAATTCTGCTTTTGAAATATCTCCAGAGTGGTCTCTTAGTCTTATTAGTGGGGGAACTAGTAATAATAAAAAAACTAGACTTTCTGTTCTACGGAATAAAATCAGAAAGCATGTAACATCATCAGCTCATAAATGTGCTACAAATATATTAATTGAAAGAGAATCTGACAAATTAAAAAACCAATTTGAAAATAGTTCATATAAAGTTCATAAATCTACATTATCAGTCTTTAAAACAGCTTACTATATAGCAAAAAATAATAGACCTTACAATGATCATTTTCAACTTTTGGAGTTGCAAGCACTTAATGGTATTGATATTGGGAATACGCTTCATTCAAGATTTTCATCTACTTCTATTATATCTCACATAGCAATTGAAATGAAAAAAAAAATAGTGTGCAACATTGTTAAGTCTAATTCAAAATTATCAGTTTTGATTGATGAATCAACCACATTGAGTACAAAATCTACTATGGTTGTATATATTAAAGCATCTATATCTTCTGAAGATCCTATTTTTATATTTTTAGCCCTTGTTGAACTTAAACATCAAACAGCAGAAAATATAGTTACCCAGCTTATTGATTGTTTACATGAATCTGGATTTAATAATGAATATTTAATAAATAATTGGATATCTTTTGTCAGTGACGGAGCAAGTGTCCTTTTAGGAAAAAAGGCAGGAGTTGCAAAGAGATTAAAAGATATATATCCATTAATATTTAGCTGGCATTGTTTAAACCATAGGCTGGAACTTGCTGTTAATGATACAATGAAAGATTTAAACTCTATTAATCATTTTAAATCATTTATCGACTCTTTTTATGTTCTGTATAATAATTCGCCAAAAAACACTAATGAAATTAAAGATGTCTGTAATGAATTGAATATTATATTTGTAAAAGTTGGAAGAGTTCTTGATACTAGATGGGTAGCAAGCAGCTGGAGAGCTGTCAATGCAGTATGGAAGACATTTCCTGCTCTAAGTAAGCATTTTTATAACTCTTCTATAGATAAAACTAAAGATTCTAAGACAAGAAGTAAATATTTGGGTTTATATAAGAAATTGTGTTCACCTGAATTTTTGTATGATTTATCTTTAATGTGTGACGTGCTTTTAGAACTTTCTAATTTATCTTTGAATCTTCAAAAACAAAAAATAACTCTTATGGAAGCAAATTTAAATATTAAAAGATCAATTAGAATTTTAGAATCTTTTAAAGATAATATAGGAGATCATATGAAAGAAGTTGAAGTGGCAAATAATGATATGATTTTCAAAAATGTAAAACTAATAAATTATTCAAAAATTGTACCAATTAAAAAAAATCAGTTCATAACTAGTATCTGTAATAATCTAAAAAGTAGATTATTAGAAGATACTAATGACTTAAGTTTAATGAAAGACATCACAGTTCTTGATAAAAGTACTTGGCTAGTTGATATAGACATAAGGTATGGTGAAGAAGAAGTCAAACGTTTGTGCAAACGTTTCATGTTAAACAAGAATAATGCAATAAGCGGATTGAGAGTATACATTGATGAAGATAAATACCCTCAAGATGTATTTCCAGAGTTGAATAACTGTATTAAAACTTTTCCTTGCTCAACTGCTGAATGCGAACGTGGTTTCAGTGTTTTAAATTTAATTTGCACAGATCTTAGGTCTACATTAAGCATAACTAATATTTCAAATTTGATGTTGATAAATATAAATGGACCCCCACTTAAGTTATGGAGCCCTGAGTCCTATGTTAAAAGTTGGTTAGTTCAACATAGATCAGCAGATGATACCAGAACAAAAAAAACTACAAAGAAAGAAGAAGATACAGATGTTTATAAAAGAAGTTTATGGACAATTGTTAATTCTTTAAAATGATTTATATAATATTTAAATTTTGATATGTTATTAACATAGTTGTTTATTGTTTTATATACATAACATATAAGTATTTTACTGTACAATTTTTTTAAAGTTTGATAATAAAAAATTGTATTATTTATGATATATATATGAATTGAATCAATTTAAAAAAAAAATAATACATTGATACTTGGTACATATTACACACAGTGGAGTATCTGAGTATATATGAATTAATTTTATGGTTGGGGGTGAATATAGGGTGAACTGGGGGGCGTATATAGGGGGGTATATACGCCACTGCATATACATATACACACGAAGAGTAAGTGTTTGTAATAAAGTAATACAAGATTATTAAATACTAAGTGTAATGATTTTTCGAGCGGAGCGAGAAAATTTTTAAGGTAGGTATATCGTATATATAGGTATATATATCGTATATATTCAACTACTTTTAGGTGCGTATACCCATAAATTTATTTACCAATACACCACTGCTAATATTAGCAAATAGTCTAATATTAACGTGCGTAGTTCTATGTAATTCTACAGTTAAATAATCCATATCAATTATATCTTATATTATACTTTATATTATATATTATATTGGGTATATATGCAGGTATACCATCGAACAGGGTTACTTTGGGGGGCAGTTTTAAAATGTATGGAAAATCGTTTACTTATGAACCTATAGATAATTTTAATAACTAACAACAAACAAAATCCACCTATATCTTTTTAATTAGTTTTGTGTGAATATATATCAAAACTATAAATATTATATACCTAAACAATGAGACAATCCTTCATACTATTTATATTAATATTTGTATTGGGCTTGTCCCGTTTCATATCAATAAATAAATAAATATTATTTTTGTAATTATACCAAAAGCTTAACGCCACCTGCCAGTTTATACGGGCTTAAGATTTTCAAAATGTAGTTTTATTTGTATAAAAGTATTAAGGTTCCCACACACTGTAGTGGTAGCGGTCTCGGCGGCACCGCCAAGACAAAAGAATTTTACCGCTACCGCTGCAGTATGTGGTGACCTTTATAGTATAGGCACTCTTCTGATATGTAAAATTCTAAGTCTATCTGAATTTTGTTGAGAAAATTTTTTTAATGTTGTTGATTATAAATTTATAACATTGTATAATATAATACTACTCGTGGTAGACACCTTATGAGCCTTAGTGGCATCACACCACAACACAGTATTCATATTATATTATCGTACATGCGGTAGTATAGTACGAATCGTTATAAAATTCCCTACCTCTTTTTAGTCGTAAAGAGCGTCCAGTGTTAAAAATTAAAAAATTAAATTATAAATAAATAATAAAATTATAAAATGTTTTATATTAAAAAAGCAAAAAAGATGCCAACGGCACGTAGTGTTCCCAAGCGGTCACCCATCCAAGTACTAACTACGCCCGACGTTGCTTAACTTCAGTGATCGGACGAGAACTGGTGTATTCAACGTGGTATGGTCGTTGGCGAAGAGTAGTCATAAAATTACAATATTTATGTTACATAACTTGTATTTTAAGTAGAAAAACAAATTGACTATAATTACCTCGCGTTTTTCAGTTTTTGTAAACATGTTTTAAAGAGTTAAGATTAAAGGTGCAAAATAAAAATTTCCAAAATCATCATTTTTAAAGTTATATCCTTCTGAAGTTGGTGATTTTCCGTTTTTGATCGGTTAGGTACTTATTTAGTATTTTAGTACCTATTTTTTGAACTAAATGGAACGAATAGAAGCACAACTATACAGTATATTCGACACACGTTTAACTTTAAATGTTGATAAGTTATTATCATTAATTGATAACTATTATAGTAACTTCAAAACAATAATCAAATAGGTATAACATTAAAAGTAAAATGAATATATTTGTTAATTATTATTAATTTATGTGGTGTTATACAACAAGGCTAGTTGTGGCCCTGTGGGATTTCATTATCTGTTATCCAAGGAATTGTTCGTATAAAAATAGATTTGAGAGAATATTCTAAAATAAACTTTGGAGAAATTTCCACCAAATCACAATACATGAGAAAAATAAGATTTTATATAATCTTAAAGTTATAATTATGTTGGCTCAATACTTAAAAAAAAAGTTCATACAAATGTACTGCCCCCTAAGTTCATCCGAGGGGACAATGAACTACCCTGCCCCCCCTAAAAACGAGCATGACCGTGTTACCGCTACGTTTAATTTGAGTGTATACTTTGTATGTATTATATCATGAACCATGAATGCATGACACCGAAAGGCGAACATTGTGAACATTTTAGTGTGGTTCATTCGTTTATTAACAGGCATTACGGACAACGCAAGACACAATTCATTCATTTTTTATCCAAATCCCCACTTAGTACTTTTATGCTCGTATCATAATAATATATGCTAGTTACACATACCCACGTATGGCGATTGGTATGCAACGCAATCTTGAGATGGCCGTCGTTCAAAACGGTAAGTTTCGCAGCCGACCGCCTGCTCTTCCTGCCACATACAACACGGGAAAAATGGGCTCATGTCGTGGAACCACTGGGACAGCGTCGGTACCTGGAAATCGTCAAGGTTTCTTGGTTAGAAATCATTTCGGTCGAGTGTGCGCCGTGGGCGTTTTCCGCGGAAACTCACTTTGTTGGCTTCGGTCCAGGGCAAGAATCCCAGGTTGTGCGATCTCCGCGGCCTCGAACCCCACTGCTGGTCGTAAGACAACATCAGGTAATTGTTTTTGTCGTAGCAACACTGTTGCTCCGAGCCCTCCATGCTCGGCGCCCCGGTCGTGACACAGTGCACGGCACCCTTGTTGTACAGACACTGGGGGTTGGCGTCCCGGTCACAGTCGGCGTCGGGCAAGAACCGGCCCCGGTCGACGAGTGCGTGCTCGAGCGTGCACGGGCACTGGAATATCTCGGCCGCAAAGTTTTTCAGGTACCTATCGTTCTTAATCCAATTGTCACACAGTCTCTCGGGCCAAGATGACCCGTGCCACCGTTCCCACTGTGGTGCGAAGTACCATCCTAGAGGTACGGGCTTGCTCCAAAGTATCCTATGATATTACAACACGAATAACAACGGTGAACGTCGAAACTGAGCGTGTGGAATTAGCCCACCCATGCACATGGTCCAAATCACACCGGGCCATTTGAAATTTTAAAAACTCAATTTGTGAGTATAGGTAGAGTTTTTTACGAATTCGTAAGTTCGTCGGTTCAAAGACATAACTAAAATTAACTTGGGGTACACCCCCCCCCCACCATTTTTTCCTATTATAAGTTATAGAGCTTGATTTGGATAAAGGGGGGCTAGTGTGAAGTTAGCCTCTCCGTTAAGATTATATCGGTCACGAGTTAGCTACGGCCCCCAAGTTATTTTTTGAAGGTCTTCAAACCGATGATCAACTTCAATTCCTTACAAACTGGCAATTGACATTATCTAACATGCAATGGACCCGATTTAATTTGGACAAGAGCGATTCCACTTCAAACTCATGTCTAACAGATCATCCGTTTTCACTAATTTCGTTAAAACAATGTTATAAGTATAAAAATGCATTATATTATTATTAAATAGAAAGACGGTTACGGAGAAATCGAAATGCCGGAGTACATCGTCGGATTGGACAGTTTTATTTGCAAGAATCCAAAAGTCAAATCTAGGTTTTGGACATTGTCTCGGTCTTCGAAAGTAGCCGGGGTTATGATGTATTCACCCGAATTGGGAATATTATTCTACGCATATACAACATAATGAAATTATACAGATATAGGTGATTGAAACAACAATAAGAAAACCTATAGTTCGGGCAAACGATTGCTTACCGCTATGACATCGATGAATACGAGCTCTGGTGCGATTGTTACTTCTCTGTAACCGTAAAGCGAAATCTGTATTTGAGCGTCGAAATTCGTTGTAAGATTTTGCTTTTCCCAGGTAATTTTTATTTCTTTAGGCTTTCTTTCTCGTATCGCTGAGTCTTGGAACCGGATTCGTTCGGTAGCCGTGGCAGGAGTCTCTGCAAGTAAATGTGGAAAAGACGTAATATAGGTATGTGAACAAAACTTATGCTATAATAAAAAAATAAGTATTTCCGGCCGATATAATCATACCCACAAAGTATTTCCCTTTCCAATTGTATTTTTCGTCACCAATGGCCACGTCGAATATTACATAACCTTCGGCCATCAAAAACGGCTGGATGCAAACGGCACGATTTCTGTTGACTACGGTGCCGACAACTTCTTCCGTGTCAAATCTGTAGTGGTGTATAGTGTATTCGTAAATCATAATTCACTCAAACTGTATTCGTTTGTCATAAGCCGACAACCAAAAAATGTGTAACTTACTTGCACCGTACTTTGTCTGTGAGCTCAAAACATGGTCCGGTGATGTTAACGACTGTGCCTCCCAACATGTTGCCACTCTCAGGTGCGAAAACCAACGGCAAATTTGTACCAGCTATACACACCGTAAAGCATAATATTTTATAATATAAACATTTTACAATAGATGACCTCAGTTGTCAATTAAGTACTTCAATACTTTTCTAGTTAAAATTAAGATTTTTAGGCTATTAATCGTATATTTGCTCTATAAGCTTTGGTAATAATTATTTAGGTTTCAAATTTCAATTGACCATATTAATAGTCTGGATAATGTGTTTTATACAACTCGAAATCACAAAATATAATTCAATACAATTATTAGTTATATTGTATAATTTACTACTGATTTACTGACCGATATCTTTGTTACATGTTCCTAACATAATGTTTTCGTCAATTCTGAATATATGTCGACCAGGAAAATCATTGGCCCAACCACGGCCCACCAAGTCTCTGATGGTCGATCTTTGCGAATAAGGATAATACTCGAAACTCCTAGTGCCGTTGCCAGCGTTAAATCCCACCTAGAGCATAATAATAATTATTTAATATTGTTTTGACACGGTCTTATAGAAACATGGAAAATGATTTTTCAATTAACTCACAAAAGCTGGTACTCCCCCTTCCCCGCCAGTCGTA